ATGTACTATTGTATTTCCCTTTAATACCATGGGACCGCTACAGTACCCTTGTTTAATCTTTCTGCTTGCCTTCTTATAATCTCCTTATACTCATCTTGGAAGTAAACACTTTAAAACAACTCTTGACACAGTTGTTGTTTCCTGCGATGTATTGGTATATTAATTAAAAGCTGTTGTGTTTGTATAGTCATGTTTGACTACTGGGACTGATGAGGTCTTCCCTCCCAGCCTTGGCAAAAGCCAGTGGAGAGGGAATAGTTGTTGAATATTCGCTGAAGTAAGTAATCCCTTGGCTCATGTTAAAAGAGACGTTTAATGGGGAGTGTCCTTGCCGCAGAATAGTGTCATATTTGCTTTAAAGGCTTCTGCCACTTCAAGTGTGTTTAAAGAGTGGGAAAATGGCATCAAAATTAGTTATCATGCATGCACATGCATACTTACTGCTGTTACATACAAACACAGACAGCAGCTGTTACCACGGGCATTTCTTCCTGTGCTGCGGAAATAAAGTACAATGCTGTAGCCTTTTTTATATTTATATTACTGCATTAAATTATGTACATTTACTCAAAATATTCAGATGATATGTAGGTCCATGCAGAATCCATCAGATTAGAACTTGCAATTTTATAAATTAGTGACGTTTGATAAGACACCTCAGAATCCTGTTGCATGCTATAATAGCCAAGTCAAAATTTACTTGTATAGGGCTTTTCACAATACACATTGTTTCAAAGCAGCTTTACAGAAAAGCTTGATGTTAATGTTTATAATATCTTAAAGGAACACTCCTCTATTTTTGAAAATAGGCTCATTTTTCAACTCCCCTAGAGTTAAACAGTTGAGTTTTACCGTTTTCGAATCCATTCAGCCAATCTCCGGGTCTGGCGGTAGCACTTTTAGCTGTAGCTTAGCATAGATCATTGAATCTGATTAGACCGTTACCATCTCGCTCAAAAATGAACGAAGAGTATCGATATTTTTCCTATTTAAAACTTGACTCTTCTGTAGTTACATCGTGTACTAAGACCGACGGAAAATGAAAAGTTGCGATTTTCTAGGCCAATATGGCTAGGAACTATACTCTCATTCTGGCGTAATAATCAAGGAACTTTGCTGCCGTACCATGGGTGCAGCAGGCTTAATGATATTACGCAGTGCCTGAAAATAGTCCCCAGCTAGGTAACTTCCAACGTGACCGGCACTAAGTTTGTGTAGTTGGTTATGTTGATGGAAGTTAGCCTATTTTCAGGCACTGCGGATTATTACGCCAGAATGAGAGTATAGTTCCTAGCCATATCGGCCTAGAAAATCGCAACTTTAAATTTTCCGTCGGTCTTAGTACGCGATGTAACTACAGAAGAGTCAAGTTTTAAATAGGAAAAATCAGTTATTTATTCAGTTATGTAATTTTCAGTTACATGTGCATATTCAAAACTTGTTGCATCACTTTCAGTTACAAGATAGGCTACTATTTGTGTTTAATCATGTACATGATCATATTTTATCATGAGATTACAGCGCTATGGTTAATAATTTTGATAAAAAGTGTAAATTACAAATATATTTTACATTATTTATAAAATCTATTTGTAAATTCTGTAAATAATGCTTAACATTAATATTATCCATTACAGACGTTTTTTTGTGGTTACTTTGAACCCGTGGCTTTATACACTACCTTTGGAACCGCATGTGTCTTGATGATTTTTTGTTGTTGTTGTTGTCACATTACTTAACACCATCTGATTTGACACACTGTATATCACAGAATATTGTTTTTGTGTTTATTATTGTTTCATACCACTGAATGTCATGTGGGATTTGATGCACTATTCACAATACCACAGGATATTCTTTTGTTTTCTTGTGTTTTGTTTTGCATTTATTATTTTTTATTGCTGGAGGTTCTTAAAGTAATATTTTGACGCGGTTGTTATATGCAAAGACATTACAGTATATGCAAATTCCGGTTAAAGAGTTACAGAACGATCTCATATCGCATAATCTTATTAAATGTTTATCTCCTGAACTGCATCTTTCTTTACCATGCTATTTAGCTCCAATCCCGGCGTGCAGTCAGTTTCACTGGTTAAGGTTAGGGTCAGGTGGGGTAGGTTTAGGGGTTAGCATTTTTTGTAGCATAATGTAGGAAATCAAAACTTTAATTGACACAACCAATAAAATCTTTAGAGTCAGCTGTGGGGCGGAGTTTGCACTGAAGTGGATTGGGGGAAAAAGTTGCGCATGCTTGTCATGTGCCTGTCAGTCAGAAGGTGCAATCAACTTGAAGCACGGCTACAGACGGCAGTCAACGAGAGTAGCCGCTTGCAGTCGGGGGCGGAGGTGAAAACGGACATGTCAAGCCGGACACTTTCTGCTCCCGTTAGTGACACTCATGCAGTGTTTGCATACTCTATCACAGATGAAGTGAATTAAATGCAGTATTTGTCAAATACACAGACGTTTCAGAAACGTTTTCATGAGCAAACTAAAAAACCCTTTTTATATACTGCTTAATACAACGCCATCTTTTTCAAGAATAAAGTTCAACATTATCATATACTATTTAAAGGGGTAGCATTTTTTGTAGCATAATGTAGGAAATCAAAACTTTAATTGACACAACCAATAAAATCTTTAGAATCAGCTGTGGGGCGGAGTTTGCACTGAAGTGGATTGGGGGAAAAAGTTGCGCATGCGTGTCACGTGCCTGTCTGTCAATGGGAGGAAGCCACGCCCTATTTTGGAGCTCCCACCCTGTTTTGGAGTTCCCGCCCCCATTTGGAGATCTCCGGGCTGCAGTTATACCCTTCTCTGAGATTGGCTGAATGGATTCGGAAACGGTAAAACTCAACGGTTTATCTCTAGAGGAGTTGGAAAATTAGCCTATTTTCAAAAATAGTAGCGTGTTCCTTTAATATCTTCATGCCTTAGTCGCATTTAGCAGATTAGAGCTGGGCAATAATATAGTTTACATTTTGCAACAACCGATCAGGCATTTGAGATTTGCTATATAGTATATATCACCCAGGCAAATATACTGTATGTGTGTGAATTAAATTGGACATACTTATATATTCAACTTTATATAAAAAGCTAGGAGACTATATAGTTAGTTTCTGAGACTAAATAAATCTGGCAGTTGAGATTTGCTATATAATATGTTTTGCTTTATGTGAGTATTCTGTATTATTGTGGATAAAGCGGGATATAATATATATGTCCAATTTTATATATAGTGATGTGCAATGATAAATTTTACATTTTGTGACAATATAAACAATCAAGCACCTGGGATTATTGTCACCTTACAAGAGTATGTTGTATGTGTGAGGATAAAGTTGGAAATACTGTATATATATATATATATATACAGTGGGTACGGAAAGTATTCAGACCCCCTTAAATTTTTCACTCTTTGTTATATTGCAGCCATTTGCTAAAATCATTTAAGTTCATTTTTTTTCCTCATTAATGTACACACAGCACCCCATATTGACAGAAAACTGTTGCGTGAACAGTTCTTTTTTTTCCTCCTCATTAGTTCATTTGGGCATAATGTATGTACAGCAGAGGGGATACACACATGCACACACAGGAGCTCACACTGCCTGTTTATTTGACTATTTTGTAAACATGACATCTTTTGCACTTTCATATAAAGAAATATGTATTTTGTTTTTTATATTAATACAAAGCAACATAATGTGAATGAAAAAACAGAAAAAACATTTTAATTTTACAAAATAAAATGTATTGAAATGTTATGACACATTAATACACTAGCTTGTTTTGCTTGTTAGGGAAACATTATAAAATATATATTGTATTACATTTGTAAAGTACATCTTAAATACTCTATCCATTAAAACATAATTTTTTAAGAACATATATGATATATTTAAAGCAAAATTAAGTAAGTATTCTATTTGGTCAAAATAATGTAATAAAAAGATATGTTTTATTAAACGTTATTGTAATGTCATGCTGCAGAAAACATAAAAATTAAATAATTGTATTATAATTTAAATGATTTCCTTTTCAAAATGTTGAAAAGTGGTCATTTATTTATTCATTTTTATAATTATTTATATAATTTTTTTCTAAAGTCCATGTATAATGTTTCATATTTTTTTACAGCAAAAACCCAATATTTTTGCATCGAGAGGCTGTCATAATTGCATTTATAATAATTTTTACACCCACTCTCATTTCCTTAGATTAACCAGGCTGCTCAAGTACCTTTGATATTTCTTTATGTAAATAGCTTTGTCATGATTGGCTAACCTTTGAAAGGTTAAAGTGTATTACATGTAAAAAATCAAGGAAATGGATGGTTCTTTGTGATATGACCTCTTTAAAATGTTGCCTGCTGTTGTTAATGATGTTGTTGCAGCCATATGCGTGTGTATGTGGATTTGCATTTAAACACATTGCTCTCATTCCTTCATCATCAGAACTTCCATATGGATGGGAGGAGATTGATGACCCGCAGTACGGCACATACTACGTTGAGTAAGTCCTATGATAGGATTAGATTTGTTTTCTTTACGCTTTGTAAAGTATAGGCTAGCGATATACTTAAAAACTTTCTTTTGTCATCCTCAGTCACATAAACCAGAGAACCCAGTTTGAAAATCCGGTTCTAGAGGCCAAGAGGAAACTCGGTTTGGACACTGCAGTCGCAACGCAGACCCAACAGAGGGCAGCACCTCCTCCAGGTACAAACAAGCACCTCCCTAACTGTGAATTTAAACTGAAGTTATGAGTGTTTAAAGGGAACAGCAAAGACACTCAGCATGTTAGAGTTTCCCGCCAGCAAACACACGGGCTCCTCGCTGGGTGAATGATTGTGTGTGGGGCAAAGAGGGACAGAAAGATAAGATTAAAGAACGGTGAGTCATCTGCCATTCTCAATATGATGAATTAAAGATTCTTCCATTACACTGGATGCATTATAGATGTGTTTGAGCATGTGCGTATATGAGAGAGAGCGAAAAACCCGGGGAAGAGAAGAGTGCTGTTTTAGGGTGGATGGATGGGAGTATAAATGTTATAGAGATTGCTTTGCAGCACATCACAAGCTGCATTAACATAAAAGAGAACATTAGCATCCATCATGCATTCACATTGCCTCTCTTTGATCAGTCCCTCTCTAAAACATGGCTTTACTTCTACACATTCGTTCCGAATTTCTGGAAACAACGACTGCTGTTCATTCAGGCCAGAAAATCCATATCTACTGAAGTGAACAGAGGCTGTCGATGCAGAGATGACAGGAACGGGGAAAATAGATGACATGTGAGTCTGAGGGCTTTGATTGGACAGAGACCGGCATAACAGACCCTGTATTCGGGCATTAAGAGTTGAAGGAAGGACAAGGGGAAAAAGCACATTTTCTTTTGCTTTGCTGAAACACTCAGTTACCATGGCAGTGGTGAGACTGCAGCAAGTTTCATTCATTTAGATATCAAAATCACAAATCGAGTGGCATCTACAGACCCACAATGCTAGAGCTTTCTCAAACACTGGTTCACCAACATGATTTTAGCAGATGGAAGAACTCAGTTGGCCCTGATGTTCACACAGGTGTCCTAGCAGAGTAACCACAGGTGTGACTATGGACATGTGCCACTGACATTTGACAACCACAAAATGTCCAAAAAGTGTGTTGTTTTAGTTTCAAATAGCAGAAAACTGTCTTTTCTCTACTTTGTCCTGTCAAAATGGCAAAATCAATGTTTTGACAGGCCTTCCTCCTGTAATAGGGAGATTCACAGCTGCCATTACAGCACATGCAATCAAAGTGTTCTCTCTAACAGCACGTGCGCACACACACACACACACCCCAAGCTTCCTTTAGCTCAGTGTGATTCTTCTTTTATTGTTCGGTGATATAATAGTTCATTAAAACAGTGTGATTCCCACAGTCTTCTAGACTTCTTTGGTGATTTGTGAACTCTTGAGAGTACAGTATTCCATGGTACACGGTATTCATCTTTTCTGACAGGATGTACAAAAAGGGAATCAGAGCAGTTATGGGCATAAAACACAAACAGTTCCCTCTAAAACTTTCACTTACAGCAGTGGAACATTAGCTGGAAATCTCCACACCCAGTGCTGAGAGAGGGTTTCTGAAGGTTGTCTAATATTGAGAACGTGAGTGTTATCACTCCCTCAGCCCTTTTGGGAACACACAGGATTGCAGTGTATTAGACGAATATGTGAGGATGAGCCGCTGACGATAAATGTTCTCGTCTATGCTGTCAGAGAGAGTTGTTAATGGTTTTATTTACTATGCCAGATGTTTGGAATGATTCGCGGTTTTAATTACATGTCAGTCACACATAGGAAAACATTCCTGTACAATTAAATGATAGTTTCATGGAACATCTATGGAATCTGTGTACATACACATGGATATTATGACTATCTATCTATCTATCTATCTATCTATCTAAAAATATAAAAATAGAGGTTATTAGTGTTTCACATTTTATGCAATCCTTTTTTGCATAATTTCCCCCTTTTGCAAATAATGTAATGGTCTTTACAATAGTGACGCACAGGAAGCATCATCATGGAAAGACAAATGAATCATTTCATCCATTTCCTAATTTTTTTTTACACAAATTGTAGTGAACATTGACTGCACTCTTAAAGCTCAACTGGAAGATTTGAGGATTTTTTTTTATGTTGAAAGTTTATCAATAACTGCAAACCAACATTTTGTCCCAAACAACCTATACTCTACCATATTGCATTTTATTTTAGGCTACGTTTGCAACCCTGTTACCCATTTTTTGAAATATAGTTTTGTCTGTTTAATTTTTTTGTAAATGTTTAATGCTATTATAATTAAATCTATTCAAATAACTAATTCTAAACTATAGAATGTCTCACATGTCACATTTTTTAGTTTGACCGCCTGAGGTTGATGGTCAACCTTTTCTAAAGGTTAGGTCTCTTTTTTTTTTGTCCACGTGTTCAAAAAATGTGCTTCAGACCCTTTTTTGTGTTTCAGGCCCTATTTTGTATCATATTCACAGAAAGTATCCCATAATGTGCTTTGGTTAATGATATCAGGACAGTCTGCTTTTGTGACTTCACACATTATTGATGAATCTGTCATACATTTTGAAAACATATTTATCAGTGAGCATTGTGGTGCAGTTGATGATTGTATATATCGTAAATCTACTGTATCAATGTCTAGTTGTTTACAGTTTTGTCTTTGTGCATATTTATGTGAAGTTATCACAGATGTCTGTCTCTGTCTTCCTCTCCTTCTGACTCTGTAGGGGGAGCTGCTGGTACGCCGGGGTTCTCGCGGGACCCAACCCAGCTGAAGGGGGAGCTGTATCACACGGCTCTCAGGAAGAGCCAGCAGGGCTTTGGTTTCACCATCATTGGTGGAGACCGACCTGATGAGTTCCTGCAGGTGAAGAACGTTCTTGCTGATGGCCCGGCCGCCCAGGACAACAAGATGGCCTCTGGTGAGTGATGCCTAGTTTGGTGAATGGTTTTAAAGGGAACATCCACAATTCACATTAGGGGTAATTAGGAAGCCAGCCTACGAATGACTTAATTATAGATGTCTCGTCACATTAAATGGGATAGGAAAAGAATATTAACATAAAAAGGCTACAGAATAATGGCTTTATTTATTCACCCTCATACTGTTCCAAACCATTTTACTTTTTTTTTTTTCTATGAAACAAAAATTTTGATATTTTGAAGAATCATGCATTTTTTCCATATCATTCTTATTTTAGTATTACTCATACTATCACAGTTTTTTTATTATTATTCTGAAATAGCTTTTGTTTTTACATTTTCGTTTAAATTTTTGTTTATTTTTTTAGTAATTTTGTTTAATGCGCTTAAGTCATTTTTATTAGTTGTTTTTCAATATTGCTATACATTTAAAAAAAAAAAAGTTTTTTAGTTTTAGTTAAGTATAATAACCTGGTTCCATACAGCAACAGTTCATTGTGACCATAGTGGCAAGACATCTAAAGACACATAATAACCCCAAAAAAGACATTTAAGTCATTATTCACTAATAATCTTCCTTTCCATTGAGTTGTTAACTAGAGAGCTGCTGCGGATGATTGAGTGAGTGAACAATCAGTCTGATTCATGAACTGGATCAGCTGATTCAAAAAAAGAAAAAAAAATCAAAGGAATGATTCATTCACTGATCGAGTTCAAAAACACTTGGAATATAGTACACAAGTCACACAAACTGCTTGGTATTTCTTTGTCATTTTTGTATCTTATCAAATGTGTATATAAAAAAGATCTGTGTCAAAATTCTTCAAAGGTTCTCAAAGAAATAATACACGATTGAAATTACATAGTGTAAGGGTGAGTAAATAAGGACAAAAATATTTAATTTTGTCTAAACTATTCCTTTCATCTAGCGTCTTTCAAAAACATAAATGGATTAGAAAAGTTGTTCATCCACTTTGTAATGGTCCTTTTCCTTTCTGATGCTGTCAAATTCCCTCTCTTTTCAACCTAGGTGATGTAATTGTGGAAATCAACGGCACACTTGTCTTAGGCAAGACCCACGCCGACGTGGTCCACATGTTCCAGTGCATCCCAATTAATCAGTACGTTGACATGGTCCTCTGTCGTGGATACTTGCTTCCCCCTGACGTGGACGTGGACAGCGAGGATCTTCCCCCTCCACCTCCACCTCCGACAGGAGAGATCGTAACTGCCGTACCCCTCATCAATGGCCAGCCACTGCTGGTCAAAGGTGACGCCCTTCACGGCTCCTCCCAAGAGCTTCACTACGTAACCACAGATGCCAGTGGGCGGCCGGTGGTCGCTGCTCTTCCAGGAGGCAGCAGCAGCGGTGCCAATGACAGGCCCGAGACGGGGAGGCTGCAGCCGGAGCTGGTGAGCGTGCCAATCGTGAAGGGACCTGGAGGATTTGGCTTCGCCATTGCAGACTGTCCTCTGGGGCAGAAGGTGAAAATGATCCTTGATGAGCAGTGGTGCCGAGGCCTGTTGAAAGGAGACGTGATAAAAGAGATTAACAGGCAGAACGTGCAAACGCTGAGCCACGCGCAGGTGGTGGATATACTGAAGGACCTCCCGGTGGGCAGCGAGGTGAATCTGTTGGTGTTGAGAGGAGGTAAGAGAGCAGGAGGGTGTATGGAACATCGTGCTAATCATTTAGGCCATAAATATACAGAAAAAGCTGAAGGTTTACTATAATTGTCGCTTTGGTCGCTCTTGTGGCATCATTTGCATTCATGTTTGTTCTTGTAGCTCAAACAGTAGAGCATGATGCTTACAACTCTAGAGTTGATTCCCAGGGAATTCATAGCGCTTTTCACAATACAGATCAAAGCAGCTTTAGAGCAAATGCGTGTTTTAATGATCTTTTGGCCTTAATGTCCAGGATATATATATGTATATAGCTTGAATGCAATAGAAAAACCCTGCTAAAAAGACTTTCAAAGACTTTAACTTTGAATAGCATGGAGAGAATATAAATGTGATAATGAATAAGGCTGTCAAACCTTTTAATCCTTTGAGCCTTTGTCAAGCCATTATTCAAAAAGTTTGCAGTTTGTCTTGATAAATCGTCTTTTTCTCATAAAATTACAATTATTGCAGTTTCTTCAGTAAAATATAACTTTCAATACAAATACTGCATCATGTTTAGTACTTTCATTTTAATTCAGTAAAAATTCAGAAAGTGAAAAATTTGTGATTCATGGAAAGAGAACACTTGTGCAGTAAGTCGCTTTCTTATACAGTTTTTTTTTTTTAGTACAAATATCTATGTTCTTAATTCAAGATTT